AACATATGCATAAAGTAGTGGGTAGGAGAGCTGAGGCAGAAAGGAAGAAACAGCAGAGACGAGAGGGGAAGAAAAGACACTGGTCCTCCAGAGGATTAGAGCAGCTCAGTACCCTCTGTGACACAGACAACAAAGTCACTATCTCCAAAAGGGACAGGGAAAAAGGACTGGTCCTTGACTGAAAGTTCATGGTAGTCACAAATCTAGGGTCTTTTTGGCCAACGAGCAGCCATTTGAAGGCATGCAGGAGAGAAGCACTTATTCCTAGCTTGAGACACCGGCAAGGAAGATATGCTTCGTCAGTGAAGCAATAGTGTCCATCAGGTCACCAGGGAATCTGTGAGTCCTCTGAAAATACACACAGAACGTTGGGCCGATTTTTCTCTCTTTGTGGTATCTTTCTGCAAAAGAAGGTTCATAGATTCTACTAAGTCTGTGAAATGCGTCTTACGTGAAATGGTCAAGAATCACTGTTTTACAGCAATTAAAGCTGCTCCTGGACATACTAAATATGAAGGGAACGCGAGAGGGTGGAGCTGATGCCAGGTCTTGTAAGGCTGGCTTGAATATCAAAGTTGCACAATATTTAGCAGAAGAATGAGAGCTGGACACGCAGAAGGAAAAGCCAAGCCCACAGGGAAAGGGGCGAACTTCCCAGGCACAGGAAGACGAAGACAGACAATGCAAGTTATTGGGAAGGAATCATGCAGGTTCACCTCCTGAAGCCCGATGGTGGAAAGAAGGAAGAAATTAAGAATTTTTCATTAATTTGTGTGTTTTTTATATCAACAAGTGAAGCTATCATAATATAGGTACATATACAGGTTATAAGATACTTAATTACTGAAATATGACGTATTCTTTTAAAAAGCAGGGCCGAGTGCAGTGGCTCACACCTGTAATCCCAGCAGTTTATGAGGCCAAGGTGGGTGGATCACCTGAGATCATGAGTTCAAAACCAGCCTGGCCAGCAAGGTGAAACCCTGTCTCTACTAAAAATACAAAATATTAGCTGGGCGAGGGTGTGCGTGCCTGTAATCCCAGCTGCTTGGGAGGCTGAGACAGGAGAATCACTTGAACCTGGGTGGTTAGAGTGAGCTGAGATTGTGACACTGCCCTCCAGCCTGGGCATCAGAGAGAGAGACTCCATCTCAAAAAAAAAGAAAAAATGCCAAGGCAGTTACACAGCCCTGTGATATCAGTGACAAACTTATACTTACTCAAAACCAAAAGTAACCATATCCACAAAAAAAATCACACACAGTATTATATTTTCAAAAGAGGATTTGAAAACAGCTTTAAAAATGGCCTGAGAACCTATGTTCACCATTCAGTGAATAACTGATCCTCACCTCCTGCTCACTGTATGTTTTGGAAAGAATAAAAAGAAACAATGTGATTCTTGAGAGCAAGAATAATCTTATAAAAAGAAAATAATTCATTTTCATATGATCATGGAATAAAACAAGCTCTTTAAAAAAAAATAAAACACTTTTGACCAAGAAAAAAAAATGAGAAAAAGCATTTCCAGAGCTCTCAGCACTGAAGTGGGTAGGAGGTTTGTACATGTCACAATCCTCCTGGCAAATGCTGGGGCCTGTGGATCCGAGACCAGTGAACTCAGAGGAGCAGACACCAAGGAACGCCGCCCTGCCCCTTCTCGCTTCTCCCAGAACGCCTCTGCGGTCCTCTCCACTAGGGGCCAATGTTCCACGTGCAAGTCCACTTAGAAAAAAGTGTCCCTTTCCCTGGTGCGTCTTAATGTTTCAGGGGTGAGATAAGTCCCATGCTAATTCTAAGATTAGACTCCTTGGTACAGCAAGACCCATGGCTGTTCATGTCCTACACGTATCACAGGGGCCCTGGTCCCAGCCTTGACCCTACTTCCCATATATCTCAAACGTCCTCCTGGGTACTCAGCTGGGTCTATCACAGACAGGGTGACAGCTGCCACCCCCTTTAGGACTGAGTTTCCACACCGCTGTGATCTAAATGTGTCTCCCCAAAATTCAAATGTGGAAGCTTCATCTCTGATGTGATAGTATTACCAAGCCTGACCTTAAGAGGTCATTAGGTCAAGAGGGTGGAGCCTTCATGGAAGTTACTAATCAGTTATGAGAGGCTTCACAGCACACTGGCTCCTCTGTCTTCCCTCCACTCGGCCATGTGAGGATACAGGGCTCAGGCACATCTTAAAGCCAGGGACAAGGGCTCCCATCCAGTGGACTGAAGTGATTTAAAAACAAAGTCCTAAAGCTACACTTGTATATTAATACAAAAAGGAAACGAAGTAATAGGGTAAAGAAATTAAATTAAACTACTTAACGCTATGTCATCTCCAGCAGCTCCTGGGAAACACAACGTACAGATTGGAGGATCGACTCCATAAAAACCATTCCAATTTACTTATCTTGCACTCATAGTTGAATGAGCGTATGTTTCATATTTTACGAATTCGTCGTGAATTAAAGGGGAAAGTCAGGCACCTGTGACAGTGTAAGAGAAAAGCGCCTGACCTCTGCGCAGAGTTTCACTAGTTCAAATATTCTCCTGGGCAAGGATAACGACACAATGTTTAGGTTGCAAAGACTCTGGGCGCTAACATCCCACATGCATGAAAGGAGCAAATAGAAAGGCCGCTGAGTGAGGCTCAGTGCAGTCTCCCCAGCTGCTGTCTGTCTGAAAGGCCCTCATACTTCACAGCCGCCACTGCAAGGAAGGGCAGTGGAGGCCACTACAGCTAACAGAACTACGATTTAGGAGGAATTTGGGACAGGAAATTTCTAAGAAACATTCCAGGTCTCTAATTTGTGATGAACTTACAAGTTAGCTGCCAGTTGACCAGTGGGACTCAAATTGCACAAGATGTCATCCCCCTAGCTTTACCCACTCTAGATAATCTACCCACAGGAAACATTTAAAATTCTATTAGGATTGAGTACATGGCCACAAGCCTAGCTACGCCATCTTCATGCTTCTCCCGGATGACTCTAGCAGCTGTGGGATTCCTGGCTGCTATCCTAGCCTCTCCTCCTTGAAATACATCTTCCAGATGCCTGCCAGTTGCTGTGTTAGGGAACGGTCTCTCTTCAGGTCATCCTCCTGCTTCAGAGTCAAAAACGGAGTGAAGATCAGATTCCCGTGCATGACACACAGCCTCTTTAAAACCCGTCCCCTGCTATCTATCTGTTCTCTTCTGACACTCAGTTCCACACCTTCCTGCTTCCAGTCCTTCTCCCCCGATGCCACCTGCTGTTCCCCATCATCTAGCCTCTTACGCTTAAACTTCTAAGACCGGATCAAATGACATCTCTTATCAGTGGCTTGTTGTGAGCCTTTCATTTCTCAGCTCTGTGCCCACAGCATTTAATCACCACTTCTATTCCCTCCCTCCTCTACCAAGCCTTTTCCGCACTGATCCCGGCAGCTCCCTGCTCCCCTGCACTGTCAGGCTTTCCAGGTATGGTTGCTGTTTCCATCATCTCGGCTCCCACCCTACCACAGGGCTGCATCTGAGCAGATGTGTAATATCGTAATGCCCCTGACAACCGCAATGATAATGTGATAATAAAACCTCTACAGCTAACATTTATTGACTGCCTGTGATGCAGGAGGAACGGGGCCAAGTATCTGATGCATTTTACATATTTAGTCTTTAAGGAATTCTGAGAAGGTGCTACTTTCTCATTGTATAGGTATTCTAACATTGAAAACTGTTTACTTTTCACAAGATCTTGGTACGACTGGGTGGTAGAACAGAGATTTAAACCAGGTCTCCATGAATCCAAATCAACGTCCTTTCCGAAAGAAATGTGCAAATTCTTGGGAGGCCGAGGCGGGTGAATCATGAGGTCAAGAGATCGAGACCATCCTGGTCAGCATGATGAAACTCCGTCTCTACTAAAAATACAAAAAAATTAGCTGGGCATGGTGGCACGTGGCTGTAATCCCAGCTACTCAGGAGGCTGAGGCAGGAGAATTGCCTGAACCCAGGAGGCGGAGGTTGTGGTGAGCTGAGATCGCGCCATTGCACTCCAGCCTGGGTAACAAGAGCAAAACTCCGTCTCAAAAAACAAAAAACAAACAAACAAAAATAAATGTGCAAATTCAATCTGCAGGGTGCTCTGATTTCTTTTAAATACATTTCACATTTTCACAGTTTGATATTCCATATATGTGGCAAATTCTATTGGACCAGAAGTATTTATAGCCTTGAGTTTGTGAAGAAAGGCCTGATCTTGACAATTGGCTGCAGAACTTATAATTTTAAACTTCTTTGAAAGATTTCACCCAAATCTGCCTTAACATAATAATAAATCTATGTCTCCTATATTAAACCTACTACAGACAAAACTTCCTTGTGAAACATTTTGAAAAAAAAATATTTTTAAAGATGGAAGGTGGTGAGCATGCGGAACAGTTGAAGCTCATCTCTGGAAATGTTGTATACTTGTAGTTTCAATGAAGCTTCAAATCCCATATGTAGAAAAAATAACAGTGATACTTTACTGAAAGATACCAAGGTTGCAGTGAAAAAGCCCCAACTTAAATTCGGCCATGAATTTAGAACTATGACAAAAAATAATTTGTGTTTATTTTCACGACTTTTCTCTGCCTAAGAAGGCTTATGTGATGGGCCAGTTTCCTTTCTGAATCTTTATTAGAATGTATGGCCTCATATCAACTAAAGGGTGTTGCTTGGATTATCACAGAACGGGAATGGGCTTGATGTGCTTTATCTCCGCTAACCGAAATGCAGCTAGAAGTTAATGGGCGGTAGCAATATTTGCATTTCCAAGGAGGTGGATAGAAAAAGGAGCAGAAAGGGGGATTTGAGTTTCTGGTGAATCCTGTCTTTAATATCAACCCTCTCCAACAATAACAAGTACTAAGAGCTCTGCCACACCCCAGGGAACCAAATCCCAGCCACGCAAAATGACCTTTCACACCTTCACCTCTCCTAAGAAATGTGTAAGTCCAGGCAACATTTGCGTACTTACTTTCTCAGTTTTTGCCTAATCTCTGAATCTTTGATTTCATTTTGAAGATCCTCGAAGGTCTTCACTGAAGTCAAGTTACAGAAAACTCTGAAGTCAACATACGGTGGGATCCCGTGATCTCTACCCCTTTGAATGATGGCGGCAGCCGAGTCCACGGCCGCGAAATGGGCCGTGGAGAAGAGCCTCTGGATCAGCTCCGGGCTGAGAAGGTGGGAGGGTGGCCGCCGTTTAGGAGCCACGCCAAACAGCCCGCGGAGGACCGGGTCTATGCCCCCTTCCGTGATTATTCTGGACGGTGAAAAGAGCGCTTTGTGGAACGGAAGGTGGCCTTCGGAAATTTCACCGAAGGTGTCATTCAGTCGGTAAAGAATGGGATTGACGGACGCGTGGCCAAGTGTAAAGGCTGCGGTGGCGAAGGAGTTAATGATGCCCGCGTTCACGCTGGGGTTGTAGCCTCGGTACCCCTTCAGCAGCCGCGTGCCGGGGTCCCCCAGGACCTGGGGCAGCCAGTGGCTGTAGGTGATGTGCTGCAGCTGCGCGCCCACGACCTTCCTGGCTTCCTGGTAAACCGTGTCTCCGTCCCAGTGGGGGTTCAGGGCGGACAGCTCCGTGGCCACCCTGTTGTGCTCCCGGAACCACAGGGTGTGCATGGCGGTCAGACCCAGGTGCTCGTTGGCCCGGCGGTCCCCGGCCAGGAAACACGGGCTGTCCCGCTCCTGTCGCGCGCACGCGGTGGGCGGGTCTGTGGAAAAGGGCAGCAGGTGCTTTCCCGAAGGAGGCCAAGCCAGGCCTGTCCTCAGGAGTCCCCGAGGCGCCGCAGGGTCTCGGAGAGCCCGGGATTCCCGCTCCGAGCTCCCGTAGACGTTGGAGCCATCGATGTAGGCTGTCTGCTGGTTGATCTGCTCTCGGGCGTGGACTGACTGCGCCCTCGCGGAGGGACGGCCGCTGGCACATGCGGGGCTGGAGCGCGCGAAGAGCATGCAGGGCGCGTGCCGGGGGCCCACGGGGAAGCACGGGGGGTCGTCGGTGCAGACGGAGCTGCAGGGCCGCCCATCCGCGAAGCGGGCCGTGCTCAGCGCGGGCACCGTGTGGTCCAAGTCGTGCTCCAGGAACCGGCCCCAGAGCAGGAGCATGCCGGTGTGGCTGTGGTCGCGGGTGGCGGCCGCCGCGCGCGCCCACACGGTGGCGACCAGGCGGGGCTGCGGGAGGGGCTGGCGGGAGCCCACGGGGAGGCCGAGGCCGCGGGGCGCGCGGACGCCGTCCTGGTAGGCGGGCTGCAGCAGGCGCGCAAAGGCGGTCGGCGCCGCGCCCCACGTGGGCTGCTGCAGGTTGTTGCACGTGCCGTCGTGGGAGCGGTACTTCCCGTGGAAACACGGGTCGGAGCAGTTTGGCAGAAGCCGGCGAGCTGTGCATCCAGATAAGTTGGCGATGAGGCCGAGAGAGCGCGGGGACACCAAGTCATTGTACCGGAATTCTGAAAGGCAAGGCGAAAGCCGTGAGGAGGGATGGCCTGGGAGGGGCGGACACCTTGGCACTCCAGGTGCTGCGGGAACCACCTCCCACCCCGCCCGCCCTGGGTGGACTGAGGCCTTTCTTACTTCCAACAACGTTTTGTGAGGTCACAGCAAAACGGGGGGATCATTCTACAACACTCAAAGGTGTTTCCGGAAGATCCCGAAATTACTTTTTTGTGCTTTTCATCTTGTAAACAATGGCTAGGTGCTAGGAGTAAAATGGAAGAAGAGCAGGTGCCAACCAGACACTAAAAGATGTTTCCAGAAGATCCGGGTTACTTTTGTGCTGTTCGTCCTGTAATCAGTGGCTAACTGCTAGAAGGAGCAAGATGGACGGAGAGCAGGTGCCAGCCAGCTCCTAACTTCCCCTCTGTGTCTTGGCAGGGATTTTTTCATCCACATCCCAGAATTGATTTGTTGATTTTTTTGTTTGTTTGTTTCCATTTCGGAATTTTACTCTCAAGTTGTGTGCTTCTAGAGAATAAGGTCAAAGAAATGTCAGTGTGGTTCATGTGAATATTAACTCACGTGATATTTGACAAGGCAGGATTAAGCAGCAACTTTCTCAACCACTACAAGCTGTCATTCCCTAGTAAATAGGAAACATAATAAGGGACATGCTGGGAGCTCTACCTTTTCGCAGGGCTTAAATTTCCAGAATTCTACCAACGCTGCAAAGACTGTTGACTAAAGTCATACTAAAAGATGCCATTCCTGTTGTAGATATGTTGTGTTGCTGGAGAGGATGTGGAGAAAAAGGAGCACTTCTACACTGTTGGTGGGAGTGTAAATTAGTCCAACCATTGTGGAAGACAGTGTGGCGATTCCTCAAGGCCTTAGAAATAGAAATTCCATTTGACCCAGCAATTCCATTACTGGGTATATATCCAAAAGACTATAAATCGTTCTACTATAAGGACACATGTACACGAATGTTCATTGCAGCACTGTTTACAATAGCAAAGACCTGGAACCAACCCAAATGCCCATTGATAATAGACTGGATTGGAAAAATGTGGCACATATACACGATGGAATATTATGCAGCAATCAGAAATGATGAGTTTGTGTCGTTTGTAGGGACATGGATGAATCTGGAGAACATCATCCTCAGCAAACTGACACAAGAACAGAAAATGAAACACCGCATATTCTCACTCATAGGTGGGTGATGAAAAATGAGAACACATGGACACAGAAAGGGGAGTACTAAACACTGGGGTCTATTGGGGGGAAAAGGGGAGGGCCAGTGGGAGGGGGAGGTGGGGAGGGATAGCCTGGGGAGAAACGCCAAATGTGGGTGAAGGGGAGAAGGAAAGCAAAGCACACTGCCATGTGTGTTCCTATGCAACTGTCTTGCATGCTCTGCTCATGTACCCCAAAACCTAAAATCCAATAAAAAATTTAAAAAATAAAAAAGATGCCATTCCTATTTAATCCTCAGAAACTGGCTAGCTATCATGGGATCGTTCGCACTTTATCTGTGTTAGCCATTCCCTAGCTGGATACCGAGGTGCCTTCATCTTGGGTATATAGATATGAGAATCTTCCTCTGTCTTAACATATGGATACTGAGTTCACTTTTTGGGCAAGATGCTCCTTGTTGGGGGCGGAGTGGTGGGTGGCGGGGGAGCCTTCAACTTGACACATAATGAAAGCGAGGTAAAATAGCATAGTATTTTTTTGTCTTGGAAAAAGTATTCAAAGTTCTTGAGTACCTTAAATGAGAAGATATATTCAGTTTGGGAAAATGAACATTGAAGCACATTTTAGCAAAACCAAATCTCTAGAGATATACATTGCTTCTCATTTTCTAATTATGAACCTAGACAAAGTTGTACCTGCCAATCATTTCTTCTTCAAATAGAAATAGGTGCATATAGAACTCCAGGAGGGCCAGAAAGACATGCGGGCCTGACCTTTACCTGGAGCCTCAGGAAGAAGGAGAGCTGGGGTTTTTGCAGACCGGACCATGCCCAGCTCACACTTGGTATGGCTCAGAATCATGTACCCAGAAGTTTAAAGTGCTAATATGGACTAAAATGGAAATTTCACTGGATATTTTTGCTAAAATAGCTTTGAAAACCCATCATGTTGGGTGACCAGGGACAGTCAAAAGCCTGCTAGAGAAATTGTGCAGAGCACTAAAGGCTGAGGCAGGCTCACAGAGAGGTCTTCTGCATCACGCTTGGTTGATTTTCTGAAGGAGAACAGAGGAAGGATAAGCCGATAGAAGTTGATGCTGTACTCACAGCACAAATAGTACATAGCAAAGAATCGCGTTCACTTATTTCATTTTAAAGAGAACAGAGAAAATCTGAAAGCTTCCTATGACATCTAATTTGAAATTTACTAAGTCTGGTTTTAAAAATACACAAGAACTTGAATATACAAAAAAAATCCCCAAAAAACAAAAGAAGTGAGGAGGGATTATAAATATTACAAGTGGTAGGAGAAATTTTAAGTTAATTCACTAAATGATTCAGGTGATTACAAGGGTAAGTAGAAGAGTAATCCCTTGGTAATAAAGCATTTCTCTATAAGACACAGTTATATCTATTAGATTTGAAATGCAAGTTCATTTAATATAGGTTCCCTAGATTTGTTCTCTATACACATAACTGTCAAAAGTTGAAACAAGTTTGAATATATATTTATCATCCTTACTTTGGAATTACAGTTCCTATGAGAAACATCTGCATTTATTTGGTAAAAGTAGTGGGTAAATTAATTTCTAAATCCCACGAAGTTCTGGAGATTAAAAGCTCAGGGTCCACTGCTGAGGTGGTGGTCAGTTAGGCTAAGGACAGAATGCCTTTGCGGCTGACCTTTGCCATCTGAGTCCACAGTGAGCCCCTGCTTCACACGTTCCCGGATCAGCTGCAGCGTGTGCTCAAAAATCTCCCCTGCTCTTGCCGTTTCCACAATCAGCGGGTCACGCGGGTAATAAAACTGAGCTAGCAGGTCACTGGAGGTGCGAGGTTTTCTGCAAATGATAAAACACGTGATTCTTTGCAAGGCAAAACTACAGAATCCATGAAACTTAAAAATATTGTGCATTTAAGAAGGCATTTCCCAAGTGATCGAGAAGAATGAAAGCTCCACAGAGGACCTGTGGTTTCTTTTCCATATTTTGCTAACAACTTGATTCCAAATGTTAGTCCCAGTGCTGAATTCAAATATACATATACTTTTAACGAATGGGTGATTTAAACGATAGTTTTATGCAGTAAGCAACATCTCTGACGAATGAATTCTTGGGGCTCTCAGTGAACTTTCTGAAGCACTATGCACTACTCAGTCTGCTGGTCTTGGCATTTTGTGTCTTCTCTTTCCCTGAGTGTAACCTCCTAGAAATTTCCACTCGCCTTTAGAATCCCATTCGGGCCTCACTCTCCCTGTAGAGCTGCTCTGAGAACTCTGACAAGCTATCACTCCATCTTCTCCAGTGCTCCCGTATCATTAAATACGTCTCTTACACACTCAGCAAGATGCACTGGAATTGCTGACATATTGTCTTCTCTGCTAAAGAAAGAACGAGGTTACTGATGAGATGCTGAACTGTTATTCCTCTGGCATCCCAAATGCGAAGCCCGCTGACCGGCACACACTAGCAGTTTATGCACATTTATAGAACTGAACTAAATACATTTTAAAAAATTGAAAAGCACTGAGAATGTGAAGCAAACTGCTTTAGAGATTTTGGTCAACTGGTTCACTCATCCTCTATGTCTTGAATCTTAATAACTTGAGATAAAAGAAAAATCGTTTTGACGCCTATAGCTCGCTTTGGTTAAGCACTTTCTACTCACTGGTGAAGCACTTTGTCTATATTATCTTATTTTTCCTTCCTAGCAAGCACATCCATGAAGTAGATCCTACTGTTACCCCAATTTTACAGGCAAGGAGCCTGAGGTACGGAGATGTTAAGTCACTTGCCCAAAGTCACCCAGACAGAAAGTGACAAAGTGAGGGATCAAGAAGAGAATATAAATCGGCTGCATGACTCCAGACGTCCATGACCACAAAGCCGCTCTATTTATGGATGCGCAGGAAGCCAAATGGGACTCAACTGGGGGTTTTACGATGTCCCTCTTGGCGACTAACTACAAATGCTGAATATATGCTTTCTTCGATTATGATGAAACCAATGATCTTTATTTGTTAACACATTCTGATGTTACAAACGCAGAGAAGTTTGTGGGCTTGGAAGATTTCACTAGTCCATAAACATTGCAATTGGAATTAAAATAATGTAAAGGGCCAAACATCCCAAAACATAGTGTTTGTCGTGGGCTCCCAGTTTACACCGAGGTGTGTTCAACTTGATAATTATTCTCCATTCACACACTGCAGGAGCACTGCATCTGACACTGTTTGGTGGATGCTGAGGTAACAGAGCCCGTTGCCTGGAGCCTGCTGTCAGACTGTATAGCACGGACCTTTGGATAAACGAACGCCACTTAGGGGAATGGGGAAGAAGTTTTCCCTTTTTCAGGGTGAACTGATAATGATGGCTAGCCCAGACTCAAGGACTAAAGAAAGCATTCTTTTTCAATCTTATGCACTATAATGTGACTTATGGATATAATAAAAACGAAGTACAAAAGAAAACACGTTTGCAATCTGTATAAAAAAAATACTTACTGTGAAAACAAATGTCTTCGTGTGGAGCTAATTGCACTGTCAACTCTCTGTACAGCATCGAGAATGGAAGATTCAATGAAGTCGTCGCCAGCTTGTCTACCCTGCACAGCTTTGAAAACCAACTCCGTGATTAAAAATATCAAACAGACCTTGAAGTTAGGAGCGATATGATATCAACGGCATTACATTTTTAAGAAAAAACCTCTAAGACAATGAAAATGTTATAAATATCTACATAATGCCCATTGCAGAGATGTAGGTAATTATCTTGAAGCAAAGCTTCATCTAATAATAACAGTGTTACTTAGGGAAATAAAGTGCTCTGAATTCCAGTAAGGCTATGTGAAATACTTCCTCTTGAACAACTCCGATTCAGGTGGGATCGAAGTGTGTCGGCAATTTGTCATCTTGGAGAGGGTATGAAATGTCTATCTCTTCAGCCACTTGCTTCAGTGTTAAACATTAAAGCAAAGTATCTATTCTCCCATCCCACAGACTCTCCTTAGGGCAAGAATTGAGCTCTCAGCAAGATTTATAGGAAAGTGAATTTATGCTTTTTCTATAGCTCTCCAATATGTGAAAACTCTGCAAAGGTGACTGTAGAGCAGATTATTTCCAATCTACTAAATCTCCTTCAAATATGGTTTAAGTTTAACCAAAAAGAAACAAATATTAAATAAAAATCATTATGAATGAATACAGTTCATATCAGAGAAATACTCAGCACAGTATCTAGTTCATTTTTGAGATATTAAAAGTACAGTAACATTTTATATGACACAGACAAAACAATAACTTTTTAGCAGTGCTAAATATTGAAAGCAAGAGTCAGTATAGCTTTAAATGTTGAGTTTGAAAGGTGTATATTTTACGTATTATCAATAAGAACTCACAAGGAAGTAACTAATATAAGCCTAAGTCAAGGTGTTACCACAATATAGTATGATACAATTATACATGTATATATTTATATATGTGTTTATATACATATTTAAGCATGTATATTTCACAATAGACAATAGATGGGCCCATATAACATTCTACATCTAGATATTACAGGATAATTCCTTTGTATTATGACCATCTATATGCGCTAGATTTTATTGTCTTAAAATGACCACTAACATAAAAAAATTAAAGAAAAAAAAAAACAGTGGTATGGAACTATTATAAGGAAAGAATAAAATTGAGGGCTTTACTGAAAACCCTTCTCAACAAACAAGATTATGTGCATCAATTATGAGGAAGTAGTGGCTCCACTGTCAAGTCATTGCAGCCTTTATTATGACAAGATTGAGGCTCTACATGACCAGTGTTGCCTTTCCTGGTCCAAAAAATACGTGGGATTGACCGCATAGTAACTAATGATAATTGGAGGAAAACAAAGATGAAAATTGATTAATTCAACTGTATGAAATTAATAATATCCTTTCAAGTAAGAACATGAACAAATGAACTAATGGACAAATGACACAAATAACTGACAATATTTGCAATCTCAAACTCCAATGCAGAAATATTTTATTTCATAAAAAGAAACCTTATAATACACTATGAAAAAAATATATAGGCAAGTGGTAAAAGAGAAAAGCTCAAAAGTTAATAAGGACATAACATGCTCAAAATCACGTGTAACCTCAAAAATGGAATTTAAAGTATCAATAAACTACAATTTTATGCTTATTCCGGCAAAAAATAAAAAGCTGGTTAAAGCCAAAGTTTGACAGGAGTGAGAGGACTAATAAATCCTCAGGCAGCCTGATGGGACTGTGGAATTAACACCTATTTTGGGGGTTGCAAATTTAGAGCCTTGTTTTGGTAGGGAAATTGCAGTGTTACTTAGTAAAATCGCATAGGCACACATCCTCTCATCCAGCAATTCTAATCCCATGTATATATTCAGAAAAATTATAACTGGAATCCACAAGCATAGGTGTGAGAATGTTTATTGCAACTTTGTGCCGTAGGAATTGTAAAAAATCGGTTGTATGGCAGTGGAAGTGTAGATGTATTAGTCTGTTCTCATATTGCTATAAAGCACTACCTGAGACTGGGTAATTGATAACGAACAGAGGTTTAATTGCCTTACACTTCCTCAGGCTATACGGGAAGCGTAACTGGGAGGCCTCAGGAAACTTACAATAGTGGCAGAAGGTGAAGAGGATGGAAGCATGGCTAGAGCAGGAGAGAGAGCAAAGGGAGAGAGGCTGCACACTTTTAAACAACCAGATCTCATTACAAGAACAGCAGGGGGAAAATTCAGCCCAATCACCTCCCACCAGGCCCCTTCTCCAACCCTGGGGATTACAACTAGACATGCGATTTGGACAGGGACACAAATCCAAACTATACCAGTTTGCAAGGAAAATGTGGTGGACGTTCAACATGGAATATCATGCGACACTTAGAATTGTCTGTGTCTACGTGGACAGACACTAAAAGATGCTTAAGGTAAAAATTAGAAAACTAAAAAGAGATTATCATAACATGATTGAACTAAAATACATAATACTTAGATGTAGTGTAGTTGTTACGTATATAGCAAGGATGATGAAAGCTGAATGTGGACACAAGAGGGAATGAATTCATTAATTAACCAACTGAATAATCAATATAATTACTATGCTTATGTGAAAACTGAATACTATAAATATAGCTACATTAGTCTGATTTTGTGTTCAACAAAAAAGTAAGAATGAGCCTACTTAATTTGTTACTTTTACATGAGAAATAAAGCAACTAAAACTAATCTAATCAATCTGCACTGGCATCCAAGGTGACTTGATCATTTAATCAAGGTATTCGCTTTTTCTTTGTCCCTTTTGCTCTTTCACTTTTCAACCTCAAATGTAGAAAGCAGCGTTAACCACATGCTTCTATTTGTGGCAAGCCTTGTCGTTGGGCCACTGCACCTGGGACAAAATATATTATCAAAGGTCTACTTGGATTTGGAAATAAGAAAGTTGTGTGCTAGGACTGAGTTACAGTACAAGATGTAGTTGCTACTGAGATGCCAAAACTTAAAAAGCTATTCACTATGCTGGACAGAAGTATATATGAGGTATAAATTTCAGCAAACCATAATTTAATATGTTAAGATGAATTTGATAATTTTGCATATTCTATTTATAAAATTGTTTGCTGTTATATAAGATTTACAAGCATAGGGATTTTATAGCACTTGTCTTCATCTTTTAGCTCAGCCATAAACTAGAGCAAGCTTTGCTCTGCACAGCGCTCAGGGCTGATGTGATTAGCAGATAGCAAAGACATGTGAAGTTCTTTAAAACTGCATGTCGCAATGCACATACAAGCTGGCTTTCATGATTGTGTTTTAAAACCTATCAGCAATCTATATCCTCACACGATTATCAATTGATACTGTGTTACACTGTCATCTCCTTCAATATGATCTGCTATTTATACGAATTAGAAGTTATCCAGTGTGTAAAAGTGAAAAGGAGAAAATTTTTTAAATGGCATAGTATGCAAATATTCTTTGAAATATTTAAACTCTAAACTATATTTGAAATATTTAAACTCTAAACTACACAAATAGAAAGCACATAAAGTTTTTCACAGATTCATAGAAGCACATTAAACATGTAATATATTCAAACAAAAACATTCTTGGTAACAAAGCTTTCTCATTTTTGTGTTAGTTATAATTTTGTTAAGCTTATGTGGTTTTAGAGTAAAATAAAACTAACTTTTATTATTCAATTGATTTCAGTGTTGTTCTATTTGATTTGGAACAAATTGTGAAAATATTTTTATAAATTTCTTCAGAACAGCACTGCGTTATGTAAAGCAAATCCAATGTGTTGGGGTCACATTATAATTAATCAATACTGTTGTATTTATTTGTCTCAAAAATCACTTCAGTTAATGGTTTAAGGAAGAGAATACTCAGAAAATTCTGAGCATATTCTCTATCTTTTTATGCAAAATTTTACAGAAGCAGGGGAACAGTCAGATCATTTTTCTTTGTTAAATCTCAGGGTTAATAAAAATGATAAAAAGGCCTCAGTAGATTTAAATAAACATATAATATGTTAATAAACATAATTATATAATAAACATAATTTAATATACATAATAAACATGTTTAAAGTTGTTGATGCACATTTACTTGCAATCATCTACGAGGCTGTCACCACTATTGATGATAAAATCAAATGGTAACATTGACTCCTTTCAGAAAAGGGGAGCTTAGGTCATGTGGCCACTCACTGCTCTGCATGAAAGGCCTGGCTCTGGGTGACCTGGGGACTCAGCCCAGCTGTGGGATGTGGAAACAAAACGGCTGTACTCCTCTGTCACCCTTGCTAAAAATGCCCAGACCTCAAGGAAAGCTGAGATTATTTCAAAATTACCAATGAGGTTCTTGAGCATTTTTTTTTATCTTCCCCCTCTTTCTCCCTGGGGGAGAAAACTAGCAGATAATGTAATATCATAACTAAATAGGCCTTATCATATTCAGTCCCTCCCTAAGAAGAATGATGCTCACACTAACACACCTGAGGGCTGTCCGAGGACACCGGAGACATGTCCACAGCATACACATTGATGGTGATGGCTGCCTTTGTGAAATCATTTTCTTTCAACAGCAGAGAATCTGTCTTACTCATCACTTTGCATCATTAAATATGGAAATGGGTTCATTGCCTTGGAGAGCTCCATTGTTTTTTGAGAGACTGGAAAAAGAAAGGCACCATCTACTTTGTTTAAGGTTTGCTACTTAGATTATGATATTTTATTTGTTTTCTTTATAACGTTTAAAGTATTCAAACACTACAACACTAAAAATCTAGACATGTTACTTACAGATATTACAATGTATGTGTTAAAATTTTGAGAACATTGATCACAGGACAGAAATATGTGGTGACTCTGTTTTATGTATAAAATGGATGAGAAATGTGTTATCTTTAACATAGCTAAAGGTAACATAAATGTGTGTATGTGTACTAATAGACGCTGTTGTTTACACAAGGATTCCCCCATTCATTGTATTATTAAAGCTTGACAAAAAATGAAATACGAAATAAAATGAAAAGCTTGGCAAGATAGCAAAGATATATCATGTGTCTCTTAATTAGTTCATAAACTAATTTATACCCTATTCTGAGTAAATTTTAAAATGTAGTAAAATAGCAGTTACCAGTTTCTCTTCATTAATGTGAGTAAATATAACTAATGAAGATATTTTGATCTCTTATTATTCACTCACAACTCTGCAACAACTTCAGTGGCTTAGAAATTGATGTTTCTCCACAGCATGGCAAATATTGGTATTAAAATGTCAAATAACTCAAACAGCGAATTGTTTATATAGAGTTTTTGAAAAGTAACTAGAACTCACAAGAGTTGAATAGGTTAATTAATGTGTAGCATTTGGAACACATGGTAAATGCGGAATAAATATTAACTGTTATTTTTACTAGGAATATTCCTATGAGTTTAGTATAGGTTATTTCATTAACTTTACAGAAAAGGTCCCACTAACTGAAAGTCAGCTAATGTAGCCTTAAATTTTCAAGCTCATTGTAGCCAGTTTAGTTTGGTGATAACTTACTTAGTTAAGGATACCGCTGAAGCAGTGAATCGAGTTACGGTAAGGGAGCTGGGAAGGAAGATAAATCGGGAGGGCCCAGCTTCCTGCTTCTGCCAGGGCATGCTAGGAGACAAGGTCTTCGGGGAAACACGGGGGTTCAGAGTCTAATATGTTCAAGGGCAGTTTTTAACATGAGGAATTGCAGGGACTATGTGCCCACCAAAATGAGGTGCCCAATAGACAATTAGACACTTAACTAGAAATTTCAGAGCAGATAACATTGCTTAGCATTATTTTCATATAATTTAAATCAGGATATGCGTGTAGGCGCTCCAAGTTTTTCATTTAATAAATTATAGGTCATCTTTGTATTTTTCACCTTGTCCACATACTAATTCAATGTCTCAATGGTAAGAATTTTATCACAGACATGCCATAAACTGCTTCCTCATTACTGTCGTCCTATTTTTGTAACTACTGTTTGAATTCTATCATGGAAACATCGAAATTCTATGCCGAGAAGTACTCTTGAGAGAGTTCAGGTCCATCTTTTTAAAAAATAGGAAAATCAATTCCAGTTATGGGTAAGGAAGTTATCCAAAGTGGCTGAGATCAATGGCTTAACCCAGGCTTTTGTTCTCAGTATCTCACAGTGCTAATGTTTCACACAGATGTGTTGTGTCTTCATGAAACTGAACTGTTTTCACAAGCAGGAAATGGGTGTATACCTCACGGCACTTACCAGCACTTCATGGTTCATATACTACAGGAAGCATTACAATAAATTATTCTTAAACAAATATTGTTTCTTAAAACAATAAATAACTATATAAATATTTTATCTTAATAAAATATGTAGCACTTAGATACAAAATATTATCGAGAAAGAAGAAGGGGGCAAATAGAATTAATATTTGCTGATATCAAGTACATTGACAACATCCTGAACAAAAGAATGGGTTCCCAGTAAATACTGTATCAGTCTTACAGGTCATTTAAATCTATGTAAACTGTTCTAAAATCTATTAAATGTCAAAGGAAAATGAGCTTTCTGAAAAAATTACAACTGTGGAAATCTTTTCTTTCTTTTGCCATCGCAGATGCCCTGCTCTAAATATCAGTCAGTAAAATGTAAATTTTGCATAATGCCTAGAGGGTTGTGTACTTTTCATGATTGTGCATTAATTTCTACGGCTATAATTCCCAGTGCAAATTAGAAACTCAGAGTCGTAATCACTCACTTGTATCACTTACTCCACAAGTGCAGTTACAACATTCTACAGTGACTAAGTAGGGGAAGCAGAATTGGAAAATCCCCCTGTGATGTATGACCTTTTCCTATTACTTATAATGGCCTGGTGAATGAAAGGGTCTCAGTCATAACATTCAGAAAATGTTACTTTATTTTGCCATATTTCCCTTATTCTGTTAATTTGGGTTGTATAAACATATATATACTCCTTGTGTTTGATCTTAAATTTACTCAAAATTTTTAAATGTATATTCTTGCATCTTTTACTTTATTAAAAATATTTCTAACATTACGAAATGTATTTGGTATAAATTACTTTTCCCTCATATTGACACATAAATGCCTCAGAGCAAAAGAAAAGTTTTTCTTTGTTGAATAACATTGATTTTATTGTATTATTATCTCCCTATAGACTGATTTTCTGTTTTCAATACCATAGAACAGAGTATCAGTGGATGCTACCACTATTCTAATATCTGGTAAATAAAGTGATTAATACATTTTGCTCAATGTTTTACTCTCTTGTTTTGTTTTTTGAAAGTCTCACTCTGTCATCCAGGCTGGAGTTCAGTGCTGCAATCTTGACTCACTGCAACCTCCACCTCTCAGGTTCAAGTGATTCTCCTGCCTCAGCCTCCCAAACAGCTGTGACTACAGATGCATGGCACCGCGCCTGGTTAATTTTTTTATTTTTAGTAGAGACAGGGTTTTACTATGTTGGCCAGGCTGGTCTTGAACTCCTGAAGTCATGATCTGCCCGCGTTGGCTCCCAAAGTGCTGGGATTACAGGAGTGAGCCACCGCATCTGCCCTGAATGTTTTACTTTTAATATGTATGTATAATTACATTTAGTTAAATTTCTGTCAAAGGAGATGAAATTCTTATGTTGGAGATTCTGAAATGTTTTTTCACTGTGACTACCGTGCTTCTGTGTATGTGGAAGAGCAAGACAGAGATAGAGAGTATTTGTTGGCTTGTGTGTTTGTCTAATGGTAAAGATTTTTAGCATTTCTAAAACATGCTGATGTTAATTTAAAGTCTGTAATAACTTTTTCCCAAACTATCTCGAGGGCATTTTACCAGAGGTCTCATGATCTGTCACTGTCTTCCCTCACCTCCAGATCGGACCATCTAGTTGCAGAAAAACACGCTCGGGGCTCCCAGTGATATCTACATTACGGTGAGTGGTATAATTATTTTATTATATATTATAACATAATAATAGAAATAAAGTGTACAATAAATGTAATGTACTTGAATCATCCCAAACCCATTTCCTCACCCCCAGTCTGTAGAAAAATTGTCTTCAATGAAACCAGTCCCCGGTGCCAAAAAGGTTGGGGACCGCTGACCTGGGTGAAAGAAATGCTCAGAAGTTTGAGATATCAGAATGTGTAAGTGAAAATGAAAGTATATGAAAAAAGAATATGAAAGCATTTATATGACAGGAAAATGGCAAATCTTTAAAAATATAAGTTGATAAGCTAAATCTATTTTTAATTGGGGCCATGTTATGAAATAGTATTGAAAATAATGAAAGAATTACCCAATCTCTTTTGTGAACCCATAAGGCCTGGAAAACCTAAAATTAAAAAAAAGAATCTACAAAACCGTATTTATGAAATGTGTTCATTTTTAAGGATACTGAAAGATGAGCAAAGCCAAAATAGCACTCCAAATGCTTGTAGCTAAACTCATGTATTTCAGCTGTTGACGGTCAATACAGCAAAACTCCTGAAACCATTTGCAAAAAAAGCAACTCTAATGTCAACTCCCACATGCAGACTGCTGTGCTTTCCTTCAGTGCTTCCCCGTGCAGAGCACATACCAGGCAACCTTCATTCACAGCCTGTCTCCATTGGAAATAACCTCACCTGAGTTTCAGAACAGTTTACGCAAGTCTGCCTACAAATGGACATCTCCCTTGTGAACTAAATAATCAAAGAAAGAAAGAAAAATATTTTTACAGTAAACAGTATTTTAAACAGTCATTCTATGTAATCAGCCAGCAGAGAGTTCTAGCTATGTAATCAAATTGATGATAAAATGTAAAAAGCTATGCCAATTACTTTGGCCAATTTTAAATGCTGGCAAACATCGAGGTATTTATTCTAGTGGTTATAAATCTTACTTGAGAGTTTGATGGATTGATTTTTAGTTTTAAACTAAGATTAAATATGCTAGGCTGGTGTACCTAATACAGGCTGAATTTCATATTATGTTTCTACCTCTGGCTCAAATTTTGGCTATAAATACATCTTGCATTCTATAAATTTGGCTGTAAGAAAACATGATATTCATTTGCAAATCTTTGCTATTTACGTTCTCTTTTGGCATTGTTATTTTTTACTTTATATCCCTTAATATTGTTTATATTTAAAAGTTTTTATTTTAAAAAGAATAAAACAGCTTTGACCACAAGCACAATTGACCAGAAAGAAAGCATAAGAAAGTACGATTAGTGAGGTCAGTCAGACAGCATTAGGAGTGGCAGCTGTTCAAAGACAGTTATTTGGATGTTGAAAATGGAGCTACAGACACCTACCAGTGACTGTAAGAAACATGTTGGTCACGACAAGGCCAAATGAATTCCGAGCCACACAATCATATCTCCCCTGGTCAAGGTGCCTTGCGTCATAGATGGTCAGCGTGCCTTCACCATCCACGTGGAATTTACCACTCTCAGTAATCTGCACACCTTCCTAGGGAGCAAAAAATAGTTGTCACTGGGTGGGTGTGATTCCCTAAAAAATAATGTACTTACTTTTTTAAATGTAGGTTCATTTGTTCAACAGACTGCATGTCTGCTGTGTGTCAAGTACTGGAGGAGATATATGAATCTAGTGACAGAAGGGAGACAGGAAAACCAAAAGTTCAACCGTAATTACTTAATAGAGTAATTATTTTTAAATCATCACTCCAATGGATGGATACACACAATTGATTCATATATTTCTTACTGCTAAAGATAATTCTGACAACTACATTTGATTGGGCACAGTGACTCACGCCTATAATTCCAGGACTTTGGGAGGCTGAGGCAGGAGGGTAACTTGAGCCCAGGAGTTCAGGACAAGCCTGGGTAGCATAGCAAGACCCCATCGCTACAAAAAAATATTAGAACAAAAGTCAGCCAGGCATGGTAGCATGTGCCTGTAGTTCTCAGGAGGCTGAGGGTTGTCCAGAACTGTGAGTCTGCAGTGAGCTATGATCATGCCACTGCACTGCAGCCTGGGCAACATAGCAAGATCCCATATCTAAAATTTAAAAAAAAATTAAAAATTAACAGGGAGAAGAATGCTCACACATCCATCATCTAAAAACATCAAAATATTTATATTAACATATTTCTCATGTCCCTTCTATTTCTTTCTTGTAGGTACTCATGTTTGTAGGTACTCTTAATACACTGATATGTGTGTATTATATATATACTCAATTAAAAATATACTTTAAGAAGATAAAAATAACTAAGTTTTATATGAAATACGATTAAAGTGCATTTGCTTACAGTTAATATAGATTTACATACATTGTCATTATTATGGAGTTAATTTGAAAACGTAAAATAAATTGGCGTTATGAAACTGCAGTGAAATGGCATGCCCCTGCCCTGCCTCTCCCCAAGACTCATAGGCAATGGAAGATGCGAGATACTTTTTCAAAAGAATCACACTCCTGCTGTAGCCAACAGGTCAGAGTGTAACCGTGAACGTTTAGAGTGAAAATGATGTTTCACCGGTCTTTGGATTCTCACAGCTGACTTTACCCAATGCTAGAACACAAGTCCTGGTGATTGGTAGCTGGTAACTCAGAGTAGGAGTGAGAGGAAGTCTCAGGGACCTACCAGAGGAGAGGGCATAGGAGAGACCAGACAGACACAAGTCAGGGATGAGGTCACCAGGTGCACAGGTTGCAAGGCCTCGCGGGTCCTTCCTTCAAAACCACACCTTCCCTGCCTCAAGCTGGGCCATTACTGAATTTCCTTTCAAAGTTTCTCCCTTGTCCTCCCTTCTCCTCACCCACTGCCAGAACTCCCAGACTAAATTTATAGCTCTGAAATGTTTGCGTAGAATCTCAGCAATCAGATCGCTTTCCAGCACATTCCTTACCTGCTTATGGTAGGGTTTCTGTTGCTTGTAACAAAGGTATGCTAACTCATACTATTTCCAAACTTGTGAGCCGAAGAGGACTGTCATGAAGAGTAAATGTGATCGTGTATGTAAAACATCTGGCATAGAGTCAGCACTCAATCGGTTTGTGATTGGAAGCTACCTTTTACAAAGTAGACACTGATATGTTCTGCTGATGTTATTGTAGAATGATGCATGTTGTAGGGTGTCAATAAGGCTTTAGAGACTGACCAAAATGTATGTTTTCCATACTTTCTATTTTTAGCATCAAAATATTTTAATGTGGCTGGGCACGGTGGCTCACACCTGTAATCCTAACACTTTGGGAGGCCGAGGTGGGCAGATCATGAGGTCAGGAGTTCGAAACCAGCCTGACCTATGGCGAAACCCTGTCTCTGCTAAAAATACAAAAACTAGCTGTGAGTGATGGTGGGTGCCTGTAATACAGGCTACTCAGGAGGCTGAGGCAGGAGAATCACTTGAACTTGGGAGATGGAGGTTGCAGTGAGCTGAGATAGTGCCAAGCAATCTCTGTCACCCAGCTTGGATGACAGAGCAAGACTCCATCTCAAAGAAACAAAATTAATATATAATATCAAGTTGAAAGGAGTTTATTAAAAAATATTCAGACTAGTGAGAGGACATGAACCAAAAGACTTCAGACTGAGACCCCTAAACTCGCCCTTCCTAGAGACTGGCGTGTGAGACTCGGCTATAGCACCGAGGAAGGCCTTGTTACTATATAGCAGCAACAGAAATGAGCCAAGCGGTTTTGCAAAACAGCTTTGTGACCTTTCACAGATTTTATATTTTGTCAAAATGTTTCAAAAAATGACGTGCAAGTGTGCAAATTTGTTGATTTTTAAGGACACTGAAATCTGAGACCCATCATTCTGTTTTGATGAAAGACTTAAAAGAGAAGCAGCAGTTATGTTGGAGAAATATGGCTTCCAAAAGACGCCAAGATACATAAATAGGCAGCTATTGTTTCTTGAAAGCCATTCGGGTTTTAAAACTTCAGAACTACTTTTTCTTGTTTCTTTAACACCAAGTTTTTCATTCCTTTCCTGTTTTAGCCAATGACCTACTTTTAATCCACGTCTGAGTTATTAACTTAAAACGGTTTCTCATTAGCCACTAAACTCTTAATTTATATGTGTCAAAACCAATTTTCCTTAGAGGAATTCAGTTATGCTTATGAAGTTTTTATCAACCAAGCAAATGAGAAACGATAAACCTTATCAAAACACTGAACCAAAATCAGATACAGTCACTTAGAAAAAAGAAAAGAAGAAGAAGAAAGAGGAAATAAACATGCTGCAGAATAAAAAGTATTATTTGCTAGCAAAAATCGCAACAGCAATAAATCGATATGAGAACCATTCCCTCCATTTGAGTGGGTCAGTCCCTCTGTCAGTGTTTGTAATATTACTGTACTCTTAGTTGAGATCTTACCTTATTCCAAGTAATTATGGGCTGTGGTTCTCCTTGAGCATGACATGAAATGTTTATATTCTTACCAACGTCGACACTTGTATCCTGGGGAAGTTGAATAAACACTGGAAGAGCTGTGGAAACAAACCAAAATATCATCATGTCAGTATCATTTTTGTCAATATATGCCAGCTGAGTGAACGGTATGCATCTGAATGCCATATTGGCTAAGCATGGTAGTTTTTAAAAAATCAATTACTTGAACATCTAGTGGAATAACAAGCAGCACGGAGGCTGGCACAAGTCCTGCAGAAGTGAGAGCAGGAATTAGGCAAACGGAACGCACTGAAGCTTTAACTACATTTGCATTTTAACGCGCTTCTCTTCAGCTTAGCCCTGGGTGCAGGATTTTCATTACTCTTTCTCAGTACTTTTTGGTTAAGTGTGAAATAAAACTATATGGTAACATCAAAACGTATTTGTGGCTAAGATAAAAAGATCCAGCTCTTCAGTGAGAATCTCATTTCCTCAGAAAACACAAACTATCGTAATACATCTAATACGAAATAGATAATTGAGATAGCTCTATAACTGTTTAAAAAATTAATTCGTAACCCTTAAAACTCCCCAAACAAGAAATCCCCAGGAAGGAATTAAAATTATTTTACTGAAGAATTTGACCCAGCATTTAAAAAATTTAACAGCAGTTTTATAGACTCTCCTCTATAAAATAACAGAGGAGGGAATACTTCCCAGCTCCCTTTGGGAGGCTCGCCCTAATATCAAAACTAGATAACGACTACAAAAAATGAAAAAAAAACTACAGTCCAATACTTCTCATAAACATACACACAAAAATCACTAACAAGATATTGGCAAATAGAATTTATGAATATAAAAAGGTTTATACACCATGAGCAAATAAGGTTTATTCCCAGGATGCCATACTGGTTCATTATTTGAAAATCAATCAATATAATCCATCATGTTAACTGCCAAAGAAGAAAAGTCACATAATAGTATCAGTAAATAAAAAGTGTTTGCCTATATTCAACACTCATTATGAGCTAAAGACCTCTCAGAAAGGAAATAAGAGCAGAGGGGAATTTACACAACTTGGGAAAGAACATGTACAAAAGCCCTGGAGTAAGGAAACACGGTGAATACCTTTCCCTTAGGAAGTACGGCAGGGACATCTGTTCTGTCCAGTCTTATTCAACATACTGCTACAAGCTCTAGCTTGTGCACCATGGAAAGAAGAGGACATAGAAAGCAGACAGAATGGAAAAGAAGAGATAAAACTGTCCCTATTTACAAAAGAAATTATCGTCTATGTAGAATATCCTAAGACATAGCAAAAATACTGCAAAGTGATTTCAGCAAAGTCTCTGGATATAAGACACATGTATGTATTCATATATACATGGTATTTGTTTTATATACAATCAATGAACATATGGACATAGGTTTTTTTTAAAAAAAAATTACAATTGGTCAAAAACATGGAATAATTAGGTATGAATTTAACAGAACATCTACAGTACTTATAAACTAAAAACTACAAAATGCTGATGTACAAAATCAGAGATTTTTTAAAAAAACGAATAAGCATATAGGCATGAATTGAAAGTCTAAAGACAGTTAAGGCTTCGTTTATTTACAAGTTGATATACACGTTTAATGCAATTCTCAATAAAATCCCAGCGAGATTTATCTTACAGCTATAGATCAGGTTATTCTAAAATGTATGTGGAAATGCAAAGAAACTGGTTTCGACAAAAAGGAACAAAGTGAGAGCAATTGATCTGCTGGATTTGAAGACACATCTCACAACTGCAGTCATCAAGACTGTGGTGCTGAGGAGTGAGGACGCACAGACACACACGTCGACGAGACCGACCCGAGAACCCGGTAACGGACCCACACGAATACGCTCCTTTGATTTTTAATGAAAGTGCAAAAGCGGTTCCCTGCAGCCCTCTCTACCAACAGGGCAATAGCAAATGGACAACCGCAGGCAGAAAAGTAAACCTTTACCTAAGTCTCGCTCTTTATAAAACATTAACTCAAAATGGACAACAGACTTAAACTGTAACACTGTTATGAAAAAATAGGATAAAATCTTTGAAATTTAAGCCAAATGTTCTCTGACTTTGCATTAAAAGCTTGATCTATCGAAGAAAAAAATTGGCAATCTGGATCTCAGCAAAATAAAAAATTCTGTGCTATGAACCGCATGATGGGAGTACTGAAGGCGAGTTATAGACTGAGAAAATATCTGCAAACCACATACGCAGGAAGGAATCGTGTCTCAAACATAAAAAGAACCCCAAAATTCAACAGTAAAAACCAAACACTTCAAATAGAGAACGGGCAAAAGGCATGACATCGTACCGAAGAGGATAGACAGATGGCAAATCAGCATTTGAAAAGGTGCTCTAAATCTGAAGTCATTAGAGACACGCGAATTAAAGCCACAATGAGACGTTACTACACACCTATAAAGATGGCTGACATACAAAGTAATGACATCACAAATTGCAGGTGAGGGTGCAGGGAAACAATTACTCATACATTGTTGGTGGCAAAGTAAGTCAGTGCGGACACTCTGGAATATGCAGCCAGGTGTGGTGGCTCACACCTGTAATCCCAGCACTTTGTAAGGCCGAGGTGGGTGGATCACCTGAGATCAGCAGTTCAAAACCAGCCTGACCAGCCTGGTGAAACCCTGTCTCTACTAAAAATACAAATCCAGCTACTCGGGAGGCTAAGGCAGGAGAATCCCTTGAACCCGGGAGAGGGGAGAGGAAGGTAGCAGTGAGCTGAGACTGTGCCACTGCACTCCAGCCTGAGTGACAGAGTGAGACTCCATCTCAAAAAAAAAAAAAACACACACACACACAAAAATCCAAAAGTGCACAAGCTAAGTCCTGTGGTAGTAACATCTGTGGCCTTTCAGGAAAGCTACCAAACTGTCTTCCTTACTTTCTATAGTTTTTTTTTTTTTTTTGAGACAGAGTCTCACTCTGTTACCCAGACTGGAGTGCAGTGGCCAGTGGCACAATCTCAGCTCACTGCAACCTCCGCCTCCTGGGTTCAAATGATTCTTCTGCCCCAGCCTCTGGAGTAGCTGGGATTACAGGTGTGTGCCACTATGACCAGCTAATTCTTGTATTTTTTTTTTTTTTTAGTAGAGATGTGGTTTCACCATATTGGCTGGGCTGGTCTTGAACTCCTGACCTTGTGATTTGTCTGCCTTGGCCTCCCAAAGTGCTGGGATTACAGGTGGGAGCCACCATGCTCGGCTTTTTTTTTTCTTTTGAGACAGGGTCTCACTCTGTCACCCAGGCTTGATCCTCAATTAAGGAAATAAGAGCTTTCATCACATCTTTCTTCTATATTTCTGCATTTCTGAAAAAAATTATGGTAACATCAAAAATGTATTACTGACAAAGATAAAAATGTTTGGTTCTTCTGTTGGAATCTTATTTTCCTTATGTATTTCAGTTTCATGCTGTATGCTGAGTTAACACACGCATTTCAGAATGCTGAGACCATGGCTGATGGATGCCTCACAATGCATAATAGATGTGAGGGTCAGCAGTGACACTTCTGATTCAACCAAGAGGTCTCCAGTGTCTCACTCTTCACATCATAGCCTCCTTTGTCTGGTGTCCTTCATCGCCAGCTGCTTTCACCTCCTGTCGCAACAGATGCTCATTACCACGAGCTGTGCATCACTTCTAATATTTTCGAAATATCTAACACCACACTCTAAAGCAAAGCTCTTCTAATTATGCCCTTGAATCTCCTCATTTGGACTTGATCTAGACTTGGAAGACCATCTGCTTATTTCCTGTTGACTAGCAATCTTCTAGTCTCATTTCCTTTCCTTTTCGGCTAAGATTCTGTGAATAAATATAAACCTAAAAGATCCAGTCCTTCAGGACAAATCCCAAGCAGCTAACTGGGCTTAAATTTAAAATAGAGCCAAGCAGCCATTTGCTGACTAGAGGTGACACACATACTATGAGTTCCCTGAAAACACACACGTTTTCTTTTCTTTAATGACCTGCTTTATTAATCTTTAATACATTGTGAAAATTTTTCCATGTCTTTACATATTCATTATATGTACCTTAATATCATTTTTAAACATTGTTTTATTATTATACTTTAAGTTCTGGGGCACATGTAAAGATTGTGCTGGATTGTTACATAGGTATATACATGCCATGGTGCTTTGCTGCCTCCATCCCCCCACCATCTACATTAGGTATTTCTCCTAATGTTATCCCTCCCCAAATCCCCCACTCCCTGCTATCCCTCCCATAGCTCCCCCACCCCCCAACAGGCCCCAGTGTGTGATGCTCCCCTCCCTGTGTCCATGTGTTCTCCTTGTTCAACACCCACCTATGAGTGAGAACATGCAGTGTTTGGTTTTCTATTTTTGTGTCAGTTTGCTGAGACTAATGGTTTCCAGCTTCATCCATGTCCCTGCAAAGGACATGAACTCATCCTGTTTTATGGCTGCATAATATTCCATAGTGTATCTCCGCCACATTTTCTTTATCCAGTCTGTCATGGATGGGCATTTGGGTTGGTTCCAAGTCTTAGCTATCGTGAACAGTGCTGCTGTGAACACACGTGTGCATGTGTCTTTATAATAGAATGATTTATAATCTTTTGGGTAAATGCCCAGTAATTGAATTGTTGGGTCAAATGGTATTTCTGTTTCTAGATCCTTTAGGAATTGCTACACTGTCTTCCACAATGGTTGAACTAATTTACACTCCCACCAACGGTATAAAACTGTTCCTATTTCTCCACATCCTCTCCAGCATCTGTCGTCTCCAGATTTTTTAATGATCGCCATTCTAACTGGTGTGAGATGGTATCTCAACGTGGTTTTAACTTGCATTTCTCTAATGACCAATGATGAGGAGCACTTTTTCATATGTTTGTTGGCTGCATAAAATGTCTTCTTTGTAAAGTCTGTGTTCCTATTCTTCGACTACTTTTTGATGGGGTTGTTTGCTTTTTTCTTGTAAATTTGTTTTAGTTCTTTGTAGAGTCTGGATATTAGCCCTTTGTCAGATGGGTAGATTTCAGAATATTTTTCCCATTCTGTTGG